CCTGCAAGCGAGGTCAAACAGCGTGATAGGCGAGGTGCTGGTGATGAGCTCGCCTGTAGGCTGGCACGGGTGAGGTCCTGGAGTGAGCTCGCATAGTGTGGAGCTCACCGGTGTTGGATCCAGTTGGAACCCACTCGTTTTGGCCCTAATGTTTCCCTATAAATAGGAAAACCCAAATCATGAGAGTATGTAGCCCCCTGATTATTCTTCTTCACGAGCGTTTTAAAGAGAGGTAGTAGCCATTTATTGAGCTCCTGTAGCGGAGATTTTTTTTCAGAGAAAAAAATCTCGCAGTGATTCCTGTAACGATTTTTTGAGAAGAGAAGACATTTTATTGTTGAGTATCTACTCAAACTCTAAGTTGGGATAGAGTTTTTAATTCTTTGTATAACTTCATGAGAATTAGATAAGGTTAGAGATCTATCATGATTAGGAGTTTGGGTTCCATCATGATTGGGAGTTTGAATCTTATTCTAATTAGGAAGTTAGACTAGAGATAGGGTTTTGGTTTCTCTATATATATCCTTCTATTGTTAGAGAAAAAAAAAGAGAAGAAAAAAAAGTGTAGAGAGAGAGAGTTTGGTAGTCTTTATCCGTGTAAAAGATTATAATTTGGAGGTGATAGTGGATTGATTTTGATCCCGTGATTTTTCCCTGTTGAGGGTTTTCCACGTTAAATCTTGTATGATTTTATTTGCTGCGTTTGGTGGTTTTTTTGGGGGTGGTTTTTTTTTTTTTTTTTGGGGGGGGGGGGGGGGCTGGGGGGGGGGGGGGGTTGCGAGATCTAAAAATCCCTACAAGTGGTATCAAAGCGGGGTTCGACGGTTCGTGGAGATTCAAGATTTGCAACGACATCGGTGACAATGGATCTGTAGCAACAACACTGTTCACCGAGGTACTGTAGCGGAGGAACTGTTCACGGTGATGCATTGTTCACGGTATTGTAGCATCGGTGCTGTAGCGACGGTAGATTCGACGGTTGAGGTTGATTTGTCTTTTGATCGAGAATTTGGAGGCGAATTTCGGTGATCCAGGAGTCATTCCTAGGGTTTTTCGACGTGCTGAGTTCGTTTTTGATGCCAGTTTTATCAAATTCAATCTCTATAGGGACTGATTTGAATTTTGATCGTGGTTAGAGGATGATGACTTCTTCGAGTCCGAAGTTAGATATTCCGCTATTCAATGGCAAGACAAATTTTACAGTATGGTAGTGCACGGTTCAAGATATTCTTGTGCAGCAGGGTGTTGATCAAGCTTTGAAGGAGAAGAAACCTGAAGGATTGAAGGATGTTGAATGGAGTTCCATGCAAAAGAGGGCGGTTAGCACAATTCGTTTAGCACTCGCCCCCGAGATCAAGTACAATGTTATGCAAGAGACCACACCAAGGGGGCTGTGGAAAAGGCTCAAGGGGATTTATGCGTCGAAGTCGATGACAAACCGATTGTGTTTGAGGATTGAGCTTTATTCGTTGAAGATGGAAGAAGGTACTGCAATTCAAGACCACATCAATGCCTTTAATCAGCTAGTTTGCCAACTTATGAATATTGATGAGGAGATTAAAGAAGAAGAGCGGGTGCTACTCCTATTGTCTTCCTTACCAAAGTCGTACAAGCCGTTAGTTCAGACGATAATTGCAGGGAAGTAGACTTTGAAGTTCGACGACGTGACAGCACTCCTACGTGAGAATGAAAGAATGATGGGAAAGGAGAGCGCATTTAATGGTGGTGAGAGTGCACTAGCTTTTGAAGGTTCTAATCGAGGGAGGAGTACGGGGAGATGTGACAGTTATCGAGGAAGGTCAAAATCTCGGGCCCGAGACGACAGCGAAAAGGAGTGCTATTATTACGGAGAGAAGGGTCACATTCAGTTCAGATGTTCCCAGATGCGTGATGATTTAAAGAGTATTAGACAGATGAAGTTTTAAGAAAATGGGAAGAAGACAGACTCCTCAGTGGTTGTGTGTGATGAAGATATGGTTTTATTGATACAGAGTACAAGTACTGAAGCGATTAACACTTGGGTGTTAGATTCTGCAGCCTCTATGCACGTTTGCAACAACAAAAATTATTTTAACACATTGAAGACAGATAAAGAATTTGACGACGTGATTGTTGGAAACAACGAGAAGATGAAGGTTGAAGGTGTTGGAAGTGTTCGCATCAAGCTTCACACTGGGAAGGTCAGAATTCTTCATCATGTGAGATATGTGCCGACATGTGGTGCTAATTTAATTTCGCTAGGTGAGATGGCATCACGTGAGTATAAGTATGTGGGTGAAGGAGAGTGGTGCAATGTGTATCGAGATGGTGATTTGATTTTTCGAGGAAGGAAGAATAGCAATCATATTTGCTATTTAGATGGGCGATCCGTTAATGGTGCAGACTACTCTTCTCAGACTCTTGTCCACAAGGGAGAGGTGAAGAACAAGAAAAAGAGAGTGAGTTTTTCTGAAGTCGTTGAGACACTTGGAGATTTTTCGTCGAGGGAGGATATGTTGGGTATCTACTCAAACTCCAAGTTGGGATAGAGTTTTTAATTCTTTGTATAACTTCATGAGAATTAGATAAGGTTAGAGATCTATCATGATTAGGAGTTTGGGTTCCATCATGATTGGGAGTTTGAGTCTTATTCTAATTAGGAAGTTAGACTAGAGATAGGGTTTTGGTTTCTCTATATATATCCTTCTATTGTTAGAGAAAAAAAAGAAGAAAAAGATGTGTAGAGAGAGAGAGGGTTTGACAGTCTTTATCCGTGCAAAAGATTGTAATTTGGAGGTGATAGTGGATTGATTTTGATCCCGTGGTTTTTCCATGTTGAGGGTTTTCCACGTTAAATTTTACGTGTTTACGAGATCTAAAAATCCCTACATTTATAAGTTGTAAAATCTCACGGCCCTTTTAGAAGAACAGATAGTTTCTGTTGCTTCTCTTTTTTTTAAAAGATCTCAAGTTTGAGATATGCTCTTTGCAAGCTTGTAATCTTCTTTAATATAAAGGAAATTATTTGTGTGGCTCTGTAGGCAAGTTGTCGAATCTCGTTAAAACTCGGTGTTCTTTTTTCTTGTAATTATTTATTTTGCCGTGATTTCTTCTTTCTATTGTCTTAACACAAGATCCGGTAGGATAAATTTCGCAGATGGTTCATATTTGATATGTGGTCGAGTAACTTGAATTCCCTAACAAGCGATTGGGATAGTATTCATCTAATTCCATGGACCGCTTAAAGGTTTGTTATCCAGAAAAAAAATGTCAAAATTTTCATATTGATGTTACTCTGACAATTTAGATCCCGAAATTTAGCATAAAAGTTTCTCTCTCATTTATTTTTCTATAACTGATACTCTTTGAACAAAATCAACGTCAACTTTCTTGCATTTTCACGTATTATTACATTATCAAAATAGAACTTCACAGTACCGAAGTTAATAAGGTTTAAAGCTTTAGGGGTAAGAAAAGTGCAAACAGCACTAGAAACAATAATCCTTCAGTCCCTAATATGATCAAATAAAAAAAAATATGTCAAAATCATGTTATTATACTAGCTAAAACGTTGGTGCATCAATGAGCAACACAATTTCCAAGATATTATTGCAACAAGGGAGGCGCTACATGCCCACCCTCGGGCACACCTCCGGCCACCCCCCACCCTCCCTCTAGCTATAGTGTAGGAGGCCCCACTTAAGATTTTTTTAAAAATCTCAAATGGGGTCCCCTGCATTGTAGCTAGAATGGTGATGTGGCCGAAGGTGTGCCCGAGGGTGTGCCTGTATCATTTTTCTTGCAACAATATTCAACTACGCGATGGGATTCCAACTGTATCGTACACAGACCACCTAAGCAGCCTTGGGTATGCAAAGCATGAAGATAAAATAAAAGATTTGCACGTCATCTTTAGGTGTTGATGCAGTATTTTTAGCTGAGAACATGATTTTCCGACAAATTCTTTTTTCTTTTTTCTTTTTAATTTGAAATAGGGAACAAATGCTGACCCAACAAGCCTCGCTGTAATTAAAAAAAGTACAGCAAACAACTGTTGCTGGATTCTTTCAAGTTGTAGAGGTGCTTGTATCTTATAGAGGGAAGGGATGCTCTTTGCTGTCAGATAAAATGATTTTTATGCTGGATTCCTTTAGGAAACGTGGGACCCATCGAAAGCTGTAGAATTCTGATAAAGGTTTAAGACAGGAGGGAATCAAAAAGGACACTTGTGCCTGCATTAATAAGCTAATTTGAGTTGGATTGATGAGCTAAAAATACAAAGATTTGAACAATAATAGAAAGCCAAGAACAATAAGACAGCAACTTGTACATAGCTCAATGGCAGAGAGGAGGCGCACTCCTCTGCAGAAAGATGCTTTTATAACAGCTGTGACAATTCACAAAATTAAATTATTCCCCTCTTTTATTTTTAAGGATAGCCAAATAATTAACATATGATGCCTCCATAGAGTTCAATGATGTTCATTTGTTCCTGGAAATTTCGTATATAAAAAAGGGTAACAAAGAACAGTCAAGTCTACACAAATATTATCTTTCATCACAAAATATAACTTGGATGCAAAAATATATCAAATCTAAAGGGCTAAGAATATCTAATCATAAATTAATTGACCAGGACTTTCTCAACCTTCATTATTAATAGAACAGGTTTATTTTCATGCCATCACCACAAAAGTTGGTGCCGTTGGTGCAGCTAAGAGAGAAGAAAAAGAAAAGAAAAGAAAAAAAAAACTATAAAAGGCTTCTTGTTTTGCGAGGATCAGTCGATCATCAAGAGAACATAGATAACAAAATATACCCCAAGCTTTTCAAAGTTGACGGTGAAATGTTGCGGTTAACGTTTTGGAGGACTCTGACGCTGAATAGACCAGATAAATGCAGTACGCAATTTGGGCTTTTTTTTTTAAATTTTTAAAATGAACAAAATGAATGCTCTTAGTCTGCATTTTGCCCATTAAAATGCAAAAATTAGCCAACTAGAAAAATGAAGACTAACAGAGTTTTTGAAGACGGAAAACAAGCTCAACCTCAAAACGCCTTGCACGTATCTTACACACGCGTACAGTCCACCACCTGTACTTTACACCACAACTCCACAGGTACACTGATTATATACAATTTCTAAACTTCCTGAGATATATCACAGAGTCCAAAACTTGTAGACTAGTAAAAGCACAAACTATGGGGAAAAACAGGAAAAACAACAAACTTCACCGCTAAAAGGAAAAACCAAGCCAGATAAACAACCGATCAGCGAGCCTGATAACTCGTGGAGCCAACACCCGCGCAACACTTGGCAATGCCGGAGAAGTGAGTGTTCCGAGAATAAACCAGTTAACGCTCAGCAAAGCAACAGCATCAGAAGCTGGTTTGTTCTTTATAGTCGAAAAGAACTGAACAACGCTGTTAAGAGACATCCCTACCACAGTGAAGAGAGCAGCTACGAGGGGCATACAAGGGTCGTCAGCTTCATAGATGATCATGCCCACAATGAAGGACAAGATTGAGCTGAAGAGGCTCCGTGATAGAGCAACAACCCTTCGCCGTTCCAATATTTCATCGACTATTACATCCCTCGACAAGTTTTGGGTTGTGTATGGAGTAAGAGGAGGTCTATTAAAAGCGGACTGTTCTTGAGATTTACTTTTCACTATATCACCCCATGAATCTCCCTGAATTAGGATGTCTTCGGGATCAGTGCCAATGCCCTTGTAAGCTGCTGCTCCAGTGGAGGGATGCCCTATATTAGTTGAGTGCCCGACAGGAATGCCCTCGCTGCACAGGACCAATCTTCTCGTCGAGCGAGATCTATAATCCCATGGGGACTTTCCATGGATTTCATTCAACCGCGAATTTTCTTCTTTAAGGTCCTGCAGCTGTCATAATAGGGAGATAGTTTACTTACATGTTTACTGTTTAAAAATCATATTATGTAAAGATGGGTGACTAATGAGATGACAATGCCCTATTGCATGCCAATGGATGGTCGAACCTATGAGGTCCTAATTAACAATACTGCCAGTTATACAGCTACTGATAATTTGATATTCCACATATAACTGTTTCCAAACAAAATTAACGACCAACAGAAAACAGATAAATAACCACATCTATTTTGTTTCCATGCTCTAATGAACATATCTGTGCTGTGAATGTCTATGGGCACTGAAAAAACATATAAAAGAATATTTTCGTGTGCCTTGGAAAAAGAAAAATCTTCTTGTGATATGAATAACCAGAGAGCCACTACTATCAATAATAGCAAACACTCCAGGTGTCTGGCAAGCCAGTGTTTTGGTTTCTCATAAACTGTGCTAGAATACCTTAGGCCTTCCCATTTTACTCCCCATATCAGAAAGGAATGCAGGGTGCCTGTGACATCAATAGGTAGACTGCTCTTTATAGAAGGTACCCTGTGGCTAAACATAGAACAAAGACAAGGTCAAACTGTTAAAGATTGATTGTTGCAATCAAGTTCAACCTAAAAGAGCCAGGTTGTTCAGCCTACAGCTGAAATTTACACTTCATGACTCCTATACTCATTAAATTGTTCTAAAGACAATGCATGAACAGTCAGCTTCCAAGCATTTTCTGAACTGAAGTCAATGGTCTCTAGGAAATTACCTATTTAGTAGAGACTTAAGATTGATTGTTGCAATCAAGTTCAACCTAAAAGAGCCAGGTTGTTCAGCCTACAGCTGAAATTTACACTTCATGACTCCTATACTCATTAAATTGTTCTAAAGACAATGCATGAACAGTCAGCTTCCAAGCATTTTCTGAACTGAAGTCAATGGTCTCTAGGAAATTACCTATTTAGTAGAGACTTAAGATTGATTGTTGCAATCAAGTTCAACCTAAAAGAGCCAGGTTGTTCAGCCTACAGCTGAAATTTACACTTCATGACTCCTATACTCATTAAATTGTTCTAAAGACAATGCATGAACAGTCAGCTTCCAAGCATTTTCTGAACTGAAGTCAATGGTCTCTAGGAAATTACCTATTTAGTAGAGACTTTAAGCTATCCCAGGGAACCACTCACAGGTGAGCAGTAAAGGTTACGTTGAAACTCAAGTCCGTGGTGCCTACAAACTTACCCATTTAGCTTAGAAGGTCTGTCAAGTGCATGTAAGATATCCTATTATGAGGAGATTTGCCCCACCTAGCTCCCTAGCATGTCTGTGGTGCCTACAAACTTACCTATTTAGCTTTTATTGATTTTATGACTTGGGATTTTTGGTATTCTTGTCTATATATAGTATCTAGCTTATATGGTTTGTCTACTATTTTCTTCAATACACAGCACAAGGAATCCACAGATTGTCTTGTTAGATATAAGTAAAATTTTCATCAAATCATTTTCGCCTATAAACAACTTCGACAGAATAAATGACTATTACCATACTGAAGTACACAAGAAAGAAAAATCATCACCTAGCGGAAAACGAAGAGAAAGGGAACAATTAATTGAAGATGAGATATTGGAGGAAATTGAACACATTCATAAACAAAATGCCAAAAGTAGTGCACATATATGCATTCATTTTCCTCCAGGAGGAAATTGAACACATTCATAAACAAAATGCCAAAAGTAGTGCACATATATGCATTCATTTTCCTCCAATTCTTACTTTCAGTATCCCCGCACTCGCCCCTGAGCTCTTGATTATGGTACAATTGAGCAGTTGAAGGTGAGATATTGCAGGAAATAAAAAAAAATGCATCCTCCCAGAGCTCAACCTAATGCAATTATATTTGATCGCCTCCAATCCTCATATTCAAAACCCAATATTCACCTCAGCAAGTTTTAGGTATGTATAGTGTAAAGCCATTGAAGACGAGATGTTGGAGGAAACCAAACCCGTCTTTTTAGTTTGTAACGGGTTCAGTTTCCTGCAATACTCACATTCAATGTCTTCAAGCTCTCAATCATTAATGAAGGCTCCAACGAAGGGATATTTATAGCTGTATTTGATAGTACTAGTTAGTTTAACAACATGCGTTTTGATGTTTGCTGTGGATGCTAACATGAGAATTGTGTGCTCTCTGAGCATCTGGAAAAACAACAGGAGTTGTTAACTAGTAATTCAGTGGCTGGTGAGAGGGCTGGTCCTAAAAGATGAGGGATCTGCTTCCCCAACTTAATTTAATAAAGACATTATTTTTTATCATGAAATAACATGATATATAATATTTGATACACAGTGGGAGATTTTCTTATGTATCTTAATGCACATTCAGTTATTTTGACATACATTCAAATGTTTCAAATAGCTTAATATTAATCATACCTGTATCAAAATTAAAGTAGACGGATATGGGTATCAGACTTTTCATAATACAAGTAAAGAATCTTGTGCAGATTGTATTACTTTTGTTTATTTGCATCTTATGTTCATTTCAGAAAAGGACTCAAAGATAATAAAAATAAGTCATATAACACCACTAAAAATATTTGAAGTAGAGCAAGCTACTGCTTCTGACTGGTCTACAAACACAAGCTGCTCCAAGCTGCGCGTTATAGTAGGGTTCTTTAACAAATTAATCACCAACAATTAATATTTGCCAAGAAATTGCACACAAGTCAAGAAGGAGATGTAAGTCTCCTAGCAACAAGAAAATTACAACATAATTGAAGAAATTAAAGAACTATCGCAAAGAAATTATGGGAAAAAGTAAGCTTAAACTAATTTATCAAATAGTTTAAACAAATCATTGCCCTGATCCTGCTAATATTTTTTAATCTGACTTACTCAACAAATTACAATTTGGTTGCTTACCTAATTTCAGAATGTTACGTTAAGTACCTGATGTCAGAAATCACAAATCTGTTAATGCACCATTTGACAACCTTTCAATTATTTCTGTTCATCTTATAAGTTTTAACAAATTTGTCAACTCAAATGCATCCTATTCATTTTGAACCAACACCTGCATATCTTTTTAAGTTCAAACTCCAGCATCCAGTTCATATCAACACATTAGAATATACATCAGCGCAGACTCACCTCATATTCTAGCTGATCAATTCTGGAAAGAGCTTTTTCATGATCCTCCTCAATCTCCTCAAATATCGTCTCAATAACCTTCCGCTCCTTTATAGCTCTCTGCAGTCGTTGCTCAAGATCCTTATTTTCCCAAATGACGTTTTCAAATTGTATTTGCAGCTCTTGCAATTGCACCTCTAGCTGTCATAATGAACACAGACAATTATAATGCCAAGATAAATAAATCACCTACTAGAAATAACCAAAGATCTGCATTAATTACAAGCAGAGATATAATGAGATTTCATGCAGCAACAAAATGTAATGAGCATGGGAGATGTTATGACAAGGATGCAAATAGAAGGCCCCAAATCCATAGACATGCATACATTCAATGAAAAACACAGAAGAAAAGGAGGTTCTTCTTATAATGCATCTCGCTATCATATTCACACACTAACATATAAGTTCGTCCCATCCCAAATAAAAAAGGGAGCCTGCTTAAATTTTAAAGTCCATATATAAATACATCTCACCAAAGAGAAGTACCTGCTTAAAATTTCAAAGTATAAATGTCCACATTATGAGTTATTCATCATTATATTCAACATGAAGTAAGGCTTTGCAGTATATAAACAATAATAAAATAAAAAAAAGTTTACCAAGTTTTTGTAACCAGCTCTCAAGTAATGTCAGTACTCAATGAGTTTGTTAAGAATTACTGTCAAAGGTAGATTTCAGCATAACAGAATAGTGGTCAATTTGATGTTCAAGTGGCAGAAAAAGGCAGGGCAGCTTCTGTGACCATGTATTTAAGCTCATGCAAAGAAGAACAATCATCTAAATTAACCCTATACTAGAAATGGGACAGGCTACTATATGGTAGTAAACTTGTCAATAACGATTCATATTTTTATACCCAAATGACTTCACACGGAAAGTATGAATGACTTATCAACAGGTGATACTGAATGACTGAATTTTTTTATGCCTATAATAGTAGTTAATCACATGCCTGGTTGGGTGCAGAGAGGGAGTGGGATTCTAGAACAGAGATAATATCATGATATGACTATGATATCAATCATAATAGAGGATTAATCTTACTAAACCATCTATATGTAAATAAAAACATTGGCAAAGCAAAGCAATATATTACGTATAATAACTTTCAAAGGTTAGGTATGCAAGACCATACTTAAAAACAAGCAAAAGCCACATGTGAAATACTAATTTTGTGAAGATGATCAAATAAAGTATGAAATCGACTTTGTAAAGGGTTTGTAAAAAGTAATCTTCTAAAGTTACACTACAGATTTAGGTTTCATGAAATACAGCTTGAGGAAACCATGAGAAAATTCCAACTCTTCTGTTAATGAATTTTAAGTATAGTTTTAAGTTTTTATGGTACAAAGATTAGACTTCATTATTGAGTTTGACAGAAACTAAATCAATACTCTCTTGACAGTCATATATATGCAGATTGAATTAGATTTGACCCAACGACCTAGGTTACATAAAACCTTTTTTACCATATGGTTGTCTTCCTTCTTCTCGAAATATTAGATAAGAGGCCTTTGATGAGACCAAGAATCCGTAGGTACTAGACAGAGTGGCATAGTAGCAGAGGACAATGCAAAGAGGTGGATTTTCTTAGTATATAGGCAACAGATTTTTTCCCCCCTATTTCTTCCCTCCTTTCTTTCGTATTCTTATTTTTTCACCCTCCCTACCCAAATCACAACCATCACCACAATGAGAAGAAAAAGGATGCACCCTGCCATAAAAAATGCAGGTAGTAACCATAAGTATAGAGACGGCCAGAAAAGATACGAGAAAGTGGCAACTGTTAAGGTAGCGGATTCTATCGCAAACAGATATAACATACTAATCTAGCATTTTCAAATTTGGGTCCCACGGTGAATTTACACCTGCAAGCTCATGCTACTGGTTGCGGGAGTGCTCTTCGAGATATGGTCAGACACAGCTAGTCGTCCAGTAGCTAAATGTCACAACTGGTAAGGTGATGGTCTTACACTCATCCCAAATGCTAAATGTGCTCTTGCCCAGAACGGAAGTTATAGAAACAGTAAAGCTTTACGTATAGCATAGGTAAACAGCAGATAACATATTTTTAAAAAAAAAGAATGACGACACACTATTGTCTTCAAATGTCCAATATTAAGCTCCCCAGCTCTCACACAACTACACACCTCTTTATCAAAAGGAAAGACACAAAAAAAACTTAGGCAAAAAACAATCAAATAAAAAGGAGAATTCTGTGGCCTAGAATACACAATACAAGTGCAGACCTCTAATGTTCGGTTTTCTAAAAAAAATTCTCGGTACAAGACTACTGAAAGAGTAATTCTTGTTTATGCCCCATTCACGCAAACAATTACCCAAAAAAATGAAATTCGATACAGACTTTGTATATTAAATTTCAATGCGGAGGCAGGCAAGGGATACGAAATCTCACCGCCCTTTCCCTGTGCAGAGCAGTCACGATCTTCACAGGCAGCGAAGCAAACACCACGATCCAAACCAAACCCCTCCAGCACAACCCCACATGGAAATCAACAACACCCCTCACGAAATTCCACCACGTGGCCGTCACGAGGCTCACGCTCCTAACGCCGGCCGAGACGACGAGGCCCATCAACGCGAACGGCTTCGCGATCAAGTCCATAGATGCCTTTAACTAGCTCCAACTCACGCTCCAGGGTAAAAATCCAATCTTTTAACTGCGTAATCACAAAAAAAAAATCATCATTATAAAAAACTCTAAAACCCTAAAACCCTAGAATCCAATTACGAGAGAGAGAGAGAGAGAGAGAGGCTCACCGAAGTGAAACGGCTACGTAACAGACGAGATCATCATTATAAAAAACTCTAAAACCCTAGAGGGAGAGATTTGAGGTGTAAACCCTAAACCCTAGATCGTAGTCCCTAGAATCCAATTACGAGAGAGAGAGAGAGAGAGAGAGGCTCACCGAAGTGAAACGGCTACGTAACAGACGAGATCATCATTATAAAAAACTCTAAAACCCTAGAGGGAGAGATTTGAGGTGTAAACCCTAAACCCTAGATCGTAGTATTTTATTTCTAACCACTCCCAGTTAAAAAATCCCATTTAAAAAATCCAAATAAATCCCAGTTAAAAAATTCAGCACTTCTCTCCACTCCCAGTTAAAAAATCCAAATAAATCAAAGTTCCCTTCTTTGAAAAGTCCCATGCTTTTATTCCATTATAATTATTTTCTTCCTAGGGTTTCGTCACGAATAAAAAACTAAAATCAAGTCAACGTTTGCTTGAATTTGGTCCCCAAATTAATGGAAAAAATAGCGCCCAGGATCACTCAGACGGAGAGATGAGCGTCGAATCGAGGAAATCTCTCGATCAGTAGGCGCAAGTTAGCTGCGGGTATCGCCTCTTCGATCGCCAGCGGACGATTCATCAGATTTCTGAAGTGGGAATTGATTTCCGACCCGCCACCCATCATCTCCGTGAACGCCAGCAACTCAACGGAAAGGCCATCATCGCCGATCCTGGTATGTTTGAGGGGGGGTTTTGTAAAATTTTTCTAGTTGGGAGCTCTCAAGCGCTCCACAAATTTGTGGAGCGCTTGGGAGCTCCGAAGCTCTCCACCGCCACGTCGGCCTAAGGAGAGGGGCTTGGGAAGGGTTAGGAGCTTGCTGGAGGGGGGCTTCCGTTTTCCACGACCACGTCAGCCTTGAGAGCTCTCTTCAGAGCTTGCTGCCCTTGCTCTGAGAGCAAGTCCAGCAAGCTCCCAGTTGGGAGTCCTAGTCAGCAAGCTCTCAAGAGCTCTCAAGCATTTTGGTATAAAAAATTATAAAAATAGGTCTTAGGAGCATCTTCTTATTGTATGGAGTTCCAACAAGCTCCTAGTTATGAGCTCCAACAATATCAAAAAAAACCCTCTTCTATTTTAATATTTTATCCATTACTTTCAATTATATTTAAATCTCTTGTATTTTATTTCTAACCACTCCCAGTTAAAAAATCCCATTTAAAAAATCCAAATAAATCCCAGTTAAAAAATTCAGCACTTCTCTCCACTCCCAGTTAAAAAATCCAAATAAATCAAAGTTCCCTTCTTTGAAAAGTCCCATGCTTTTATTCCATTATAATTATTTTCTTCCTAGGGTTTCGTCACGAATAAAAAACTAAAATCAAGTCAACGTTTGCTTGAATTTGGTCCCCAAATTAATGGAAAAAATAGCGCCCAGGATCACTCAGACGGAGAGATGAGCGTCGAATCGAGGAAATCTCTCGATCAGTAGGCGCAAGTTAGCTGCGGGTATCGCCTCTTCGATCGCCAGCGGACGATTCATCAGATTTCTGAAGTGGGAATTGATTTCCGACCCGCCACCCATCATCTCCGTGAACGCCAGCAACTCAACGGAAAGGCCATCATCGCCGATCCTGGTATGTTTGAGGGGGGGTTTTGTAAAATTTTTCTAGTTGGGAGCTCTCAAGCGCTCCACAAATTTGTGGAGCGCTTGGGAGCTCCGAAGCTCTCCACCGCCACGTCGGCCTAAGGAGAGGGGCTTGGGAAGGGTTAGGAGCTTGCTGGAGGGGGGCTTCCGTTTTCCACGACCACGTCAGCCTTGAGAGCTCTCTTCAGAGCTTGCTGCCCTTGCTCTGAGAGCAAGTCCAGCAAGCTCCCAGTTGGGAGTCCTAGTCAGCAAGCTCTCAAGAGCTCTCAAGCATTTTGGTATAAAAAATTATAAAAATAGGTCTTAGGAGCATCTTCTTATTGTATGGAGTTCCAACAAGCTCCTAGTTATGAGCTCCAACAATATCAAAAAAAACCCTCTTCTATTTTAATATTTTATCCATTACTTTCAATTATATTTAAATCTCTTGTATTTTATTTCTAACCACTCCCAGTTAAAAAATCCCATTTAAAAAATCCAAATAAATCCCAGTTAAAAAATTCAGCACTTCTCTCCACTCCCAGTTAAAAAATCCAAATAAATCAAAGTTCCCTTCTTTGAAAAGTCCCATGCTTTTATTCCATTATAATTATTTTCTTCCTAGGGTTTCGTCACGAATAAAAAACTAAAATCAAGTCAACGTTTGCTTGAATTTGGTCCCCAAATTAATGGAAAAAATAGCGCCCAGGATCACTCAGACGGAGAGATGAGCGTCGAATCGAGGAAATCTCTCGATCAGTAGGCGCAAGTTAGCTGCGGGTATCGCCTCTTCGATCGCCAGCGGACGATTCATCAGATTTCTGAAGTGGGAATTGATTTCCGACCCGCCACCCATCATCTCCGTGAACGCCAGCAACTCAACGGAAAGGCCATCATCGCCGATCCTGGTATGTTTGAGGGGGGGTTTTGTAAAATTTTTCTAGTTGGGAGCTCTCAAGCGCTCCACAAATTTGTGGAGCGCTTGGGAGCTCCGAAGCTCTCCACCGCCACGTCGGCCTAAGGAGAGGGGCTTGGGAAGGGTTAGGAGCTTGCTGGAGGGGGGCTTCCGTTTTCCACGACCACGTCAGCCTTGAGAGCTCTCTTCAGAGCTTGCTGCCCTTGCTCTGAGAGCAAGTCCAGCAAGCTCCCAGTTGGGAGTCCTAGTCAGCAAGCTCTCAAGAGCTCTCAAGCATTTTGGTATAAAAAATTATAAAAATAGGTCTTAGGAGCATCTTCTTATTGTATGGAGTTCCAACAAGCTCCTAGTTATGAGCTCCAACAATATCAAAAAAAACCCTCTTCTATTTTAATATTTTATCCATTACTTTCAATTATATTTAAATCTCTTGTATTTTATTTCTAACCACTCCCAGTTAAAAAATCCCATTTAAAAAATCCAAATAAATCCCAGTTAAAAAATTCAGCACTTCTCTCCACTCCCAGTTAAAAAATCCAAATAAATCAAAGTTCCCTTCTTTGAAAAGTCCCATGCTTTTATTCCATTATAATTATTTTCTTCCTAGGGTTTCGTCACGAATAAAAAACTAAAATCAAGTCAACGTTTGCTTGAATTTGGTCCCCAAATTAATGGAAAAAATAGCGCCCAGGATCACTCAGACGGAGAGATGAGCGTCGAATCGAGGAAATCTCTCGATCAGTAGGCGCAAGTTAGCTGCGGGTATCGCCTCTTCGATCGCCAGCGGACGATTCATCAGATTTCTGAAGTGGGAATTGATTTCCGACCCGCCACCCATCATCTCCGTGAACGCCAGCAACTCAACGGAAAGGCCATCATCGCCGATCCTGGTATGTTTGAGGGGGGGTTTTGTAAAATTTTTCTAGTTGGGAGCTCTCAAGCGCTCCACAAATTTGTGGAGCGCTTGGGAGCTCCGAAGCTCTCCACCGCCACGTCGGCCTAAGGAGAGGGGCTTGGGAAGGGTTAGGAGCTTGCTGGAGGGGGGCTTCCGTTTTCCACGACCACGTCAGCCTTGAGAGCTCTCTTCAGAGCTTGCTGCCCTTGCTCTGAGAGCAAGTCCAGCAAGCTCCCAGTTGGGAGTCCTAGTCAGCAAGCTCTCAAGAGCTCTCAAGCATTTTGGTATAAAAAATTATAAAAATAGGTCTTAGGAGCATCTTCTTATTGTATGGAGTTCCAACAAGCTCCTAGTTATGAGCTCCAACAATATCAAAAAAAACCCTCTTCTATTTTAATATTTTATCCATTACTTTCAATTATATTTAAATCTCTTGTATTTTATTTCTAACCACTCCCAGTTAAAAAATCCCATTTAAAAAATCCAAATAAATCCCAGTTAAAAAATTCAGCACTTCTCTCCACTCCCAGTTAAAAAATCCAAATAAATCAAAGTTCCCTTCTTTGAAAAGTCCCATGCTTTTATTCCATTATAATTATTTTCTTCCTAGGGTTTCGTCACGAATAAAAAACTAAAATCAAGTCAACGTCTGCTTGAATTTGGTCCCCAAATTAATGGAAAAATAGCGCCCAGGGTCACTCAGACGGAGAGATGAGCGTCGAATCGAGGAAATCTCTCGATCAGTAGGCGCAAGTTAGCTGCGGGTATCGCCTCTTCGATCGCCAGCGGACGATTCATCAGATTTCTGAAGTGGGAATTGATTTCCGACCCGCCACCCATCATCTCCGTGAACGCCAGCAACTCAACGGAAAGGCCATCATCGCCGATCCTGGTATGTTTGAGGGAGGTTTTTGTAAAATTTTCCCAGTTGGGAGCTCCCAAGCGCTCCACAAATTTGTGGAGCGCTTGAGAGCTCCCAACTAGAAAAATTTTACAAAACCCCCCCTCAAACATACCAGGATCGGCGATGATGGCCTTTCCGTTGAGTTGCTGGCGTTCACGGAGATGATGGGTGGCGGGTCGGAAATCAATTCCCACTTCAGAAACTGAGAGCAAGTCCAGCAAGCTCCCAGTTGGGAGTCCTAGTCAGCAAGCTCTCAAGAGCTCTCAAGCATTTTGGTATAAAAAATTATAAAAATAGGTCTTAGGAGCATCTTCTTATTGTATGGAGTTCCAACAAGCTCCTAGTTATGAGCTCCAACAATATCAAAAAAAACCCTCTTCTATTTTAATATTTTATCCATTACTTTCAATTATATTTAAATCTCTTGTATTTTATTTCTATAACCACTCCCATTTAAAAAATCCCATTTAAAAAATCCAAATAAATCCCAGTTAAAAAATTCAGCACTTCTCTCCACTCCCAGTTAAAAAATCCAAATAAATCGAAGTTCCCTTCTTTGAAAAGTCCCATGCTTTTATTCCATTATAATTATTTTCTTCCTAGGGTTTCGTCACGAATAAAAAACTAAAATCAAGTCAACGTTTGCTTGAATTTGGTCCCCAAATTAATGGAAAAAATAGCGCCCAGGATCACTCAGACGGAGAGATGAGCGTCGAATCGAGGAAATCTCTCGATCAGTAGGCGCAAGTTAGCTGCGGGTATCGCCTCTTCGATCGCCAGCGGACGATTCAT